AGTTTTCCACGAGGGGATGTGAAACAAGAAGATAACCAATATGATTCTCTCAGATACTTCTGCAGGGAGTGCAGATATAGCATGACCCCATTGATCCCAGATAGCTTCTGCAGACAAGCAGCCAGATCTGAAGTTCATTTGTGTTGGGAGCTGATGATAAACCTTGCAGACTTTCACCAGAGATAAGAGGATCATATTCTGCAATGGCCACAAACCATGCTAAGGAAGGTTTGTATTCCTGTGAAAGCTGTGAATTACTAAACCTGTTTTTTTTCATATTTTTCTTGAACCTAAAAAATACAATGATTTTGCAACACAATAAATAGATTCTTTTATATTTAAATGGGATTCTTTCATTGAGTAAAATCTGGATCATGTGTGAGGGAAGAAATTATACATCTTTTAGAACTCTGCATCTGTTCTGATAATTTTAACCTTGCAAAGACTGGTTTTTGGCTTTTAAATTTTCTCTTGCTGTTAGTAGGACTTTATTTTAGGGTTTCAATTATTTTTACCTGCCCTCTGCAATCTCTCCAACAGAGCATTAAGGCAGAAGAGGTTAAAATGACAAAAAAGGCACATCCTTGTACAATCAGGATGCTAAATCCAGCTGAGCAAAGCAAGCAGAGTGCAGATGCAAGACAGAAATAAAATATGCAGCAGACTCAGAAGTGAAAGAATAAAGAAGTCAGTATGGCAGACAGTGAGAATCTAAGCAAACACTGAAAACACAGCCCATGAAAGAAGCAAACACACACCACTTATAATGAGGAAGGAAAAGTCAGGCTCAGGCCATCCCCACTCATTGGCAACAGATGAAGAGAGTCAGCAAATGTAAGCTGTATGGGTTTCTCTGAAAACAAAGGCTTGATTTTCAGAAATGGAATTTTCTTCTTCCCATGAAGCAGCATATCGCTTTGTAAAAGTCAGCCCCTCCAAAAAGTCAATGTGAATACCAGAATGTGGTTTAGGGTTTTGTCTTCTGGAGAAATGTTTATCCACACTAACTGGGGGTAATTGGAAAGGAATCATTATAAATTATCTGTGGAACTTTGAAATTTATCTCTTGCATTGTGTCATGTTCTGGCTGTAAAGTGAAAGTAAGTTAATGCTGGCGGTTCAGGAAAAAAGCTGGAACAGGAAATATCAGGAAAAGTGAAGGCAGTGAGTAGCTACTCAAAGCATACTTTACAATATGTGGATGTTACACACATACCTGGAGCAAGATGTGCACATGTACACCTTTGCCATGCAGACATTGAGGCAAGAGGCAGAAGACTGAAGCAGAAAACAGCTTAAGTACTCGGTGCTCATGTCCACATGTGTTAGATCTCTGTCCCAAGCCCACCCACACCGAGCCCTGTTTGTTCACTTTGCTAGTCTTGAAAAATGTGACAAAGAGCCCTGGCATGTGGGAAAAAGCTAATGGTTTGCTAAAGCTCTTATGGGTTGGTCTGCTTTTTTAATCCTTTGTTAAATGTGATTGCAGCTCAGAATTAATATTTTTTTATGTTTTGCAAATTGAATTAAAAATAAATAGCTAAAAGGAGCTTTCTGGCAAATTTATTTTATGTCTGTGCTGTTATAATTCTGCTAGCAAACACCAAGTTTTTCAGAGGAAAACATCCAGGGCTCATGGCCTAAAATATTAAAAAGCAGAAACAAGGGAGCAAGGAGCTACATCCTTTGCTACCAGCCCAGCATCCATTACTAAGATTTTTATTGTAAAGTTATACAAAGGCAGCAGTGACAAATTATGAGCTCAAGAAGATCTCATATATCACATTGATGGAACTAACAAAATTTTAAAATATATGTCGTTTTAAAGGCTAATGAATAAAGATAAATGTGTCTTGTTCCATACTCCAGAAATGAGCAGCTCTTCAGAATGGGGAACTGAATAAACCTATCGTTTCACATCACTTTCAATTCTTCTGCCATAATTTTCACAGCCAGAATAACTTAATGGGAAAGTGACACAGGTCACCGATGTAATAAAAAGCTGAATGTCAGATGGTGAGAAAAAAATCCTCAGTGGTTTTAACAGTATCAACAGTATCAGAGGCTTGGCTTTCCTGAAGCCAGGCTATCTGCAACCAGCTCTCACAGCATTTGCACTGGGGGAACTGCTGGTGCAAACCAGGCAAAGCAAACTGAAGTTCAAGTAAAGACCTGTTTCTGAAAGATGGAAAGGTCTAAGCACAACAGACGCCTCAGCTTGACAACGTAAATTCTGTAAGGGCTCAAACAGAAAGGGGCAATTACTGCCTTGTGCTCAAGGTCTAATCTTAAATTATAGGATAGTTTCCTAATGAGGGGGAACACTGCTGGAGACAGCTGTGGTATATGGAAGGCAACACTTCAGTAATTACAGAAACTTGCACATAAGTGACAGAAATTACCAAACTCCAAGGGGAAACACCTTCATAATGTTTGTTTTTACAGAATCAAATATCATTCTAAGTTTGTAGTGGAATGGAAACATTCAAGTATGGGAACCTTAAGACTGGATTTCAGCCCTACATGATACATGTTAGGAGCTGGACTGCATTGGCAGAAGTGAGTTAGTGTGCTGGGATCTTAATTTGGGTTTAGGTATGATAACAATGGTCAACTAGAGAAACGCAACACTTGTCAGTGGCACTAGAGAGGGAGAAAAAAAGAAAACCAGCAGACAAGTCTTAGGCAGAACATCTGATATGGCATAATCAGAACAAACTTGTTCCCTTCTTTCAAAATGACTGCTAGCAGTAAGGGTGTTGAATATTTCATACACTTTCTTATGACACAGAGCATGTTACTGGACAGACTGAAAAAACAATTCACAGTTTGACTTTTTTTTTTTTTTTTTGTCTTTGTGAGCTATACAGTCATAGACAGCAGTCTAAAACGTGGTCTGCAGACTCCCAGGGTTCTACAGATGACTTCCAAGGACTACAGCAGAAATAACTAAAGAACAAGCTGTTGTCTCATATCTATTCAAGGTTCTGCATGTCTCCAGTAAATTTACAGGGGTCTACAGGTGAACAAAGCTTAAAATCTTTGCATTTACACCATTACTATTACATGAGAAGAAATTGATGATATTTTTCCAATTAGTACTTCCATGGATGACTCAGCTCCTACTAGCATGACATTCAACTATATTTTCAGAGTATCTTTGCTTCAGCCACTACACAGAACAAGACCAGATTATGTAATTAGCAGCTGTTCAATGATTTGTGTTCTATTGGTTGTTTAATGGGGTTTCAGGCTTTACTTTAATGTATTCTTTTGCAATGAAGGAAGGATTTTTTGTTTCCCAAGATGCTTGTTTATTGGCATTTAACAGTATAAAATCTGAGTATTTCACAAATATTTTTCTAAGAAAACCTATGAGTGGATAAAAAAATGGGGGGAAAAGTAAAATAATCTTGGCAACCAATGTGAGATATTAAAACCTGATCCTTTTAAGCACTGATCCTTTAAGCATTCCCTTAATGTTTGGGAATTTTTTTCCATATATACAAAAAACATAGCCCGCATTGACTTTGGTTACAGCTCTGAACACAGCACTTTCTCACATCAGGAGTCACACTGACCACCAGGGAAATGAGGAGCTTCCGGGTAAACATATACAAAGTTTGCCTGGAATGCAAGGAGTTCTGGAGCAGTGGGACAGAGTCCAAGGTAGCATTTAAACCCCAGGGGCCATTTATCCATACCATATCTTCTCTTTGCCCTCAGCTTTAAGGCCTGTACTTCTGACTGATCCAGTCCTTACCTCCACTCTGTAAACTTCAAGTCCTAATCCTCTTGCACAGCAAAATCTAGGCCTTAGTGAATCCAAGATTAATGAACCACAGGCATCAGCCCCATGTGCAGCTTGTTTCTTGGACCAGCACTGTTCCCTCTCTCCTTGTCTCAGCATCAGTGTTCCCATTGCCTTTCTCCATTTCTCCTGTGTCAACTCAGCCAGGTTCAACAACAAGTTCTCTTTGTGGGCATTCCCAAGCTCTGATGGTCCCTTCCAGCTCCTTCCTTGCACTTAAATCACCAGTGTTCTCCCTCATCTCTGATTTTGGTCTAAAACTTTCATCCTTCCTCCCCCAGGATCACTTTCCACTATTCTGAGGCTTCTGCTGTGCAGCAGCTTCCCCTTTCCTCCATAGTGCTAGCCAGGGAAAGCTGGCTGAAAACCAGCTGTGCCCCTCTCTCAGTTCAGACCTCAGCATTAGGTGTGACCTGGTACAGAGCCAGCCTTGTAACAACCATACTGCAGGAAAAGTTATCTTAAATTTGGATTGGAATGTGCTCAGGGAAGACAAGTCATCTGGGAGGTTAGCTGCTAAAACCGTGAAGGTTTCTGTTGAACATTTGTGACTGACAAACCTTCAAGGGCCTCCCTCTGAGCAAACTAGCTCCATTTGCTGAAGGAGTGTTAAAGAGAGAGATTCTTTCAGCAAGACCACTTCTCCCCCCTCTCCCCAGCCCTCCTGACAGCAAAGGCCAAATCTCCACTCCAAACGCCTTTGACCTGACCGAGCCTTTTAGGCTGTGTCTGAAAATTGCAGCCACGTAGAGCCAGATGGCTCTGAACAGCTCAATTCAAGAGCTGAATTCAGAAGAAATTATAACTGGCTGTAAACAGGGCTTTGTGAGGTGTGCAGACAATTTTAATAATACCTGGAGCCACCAGACTCACCTACAGTAACTGATTTCATTTGAAGAAATCTATACAAAAACTGTTTTGGTACAGCCTACAGTAAACAAGCTTTTGTTTTATCTTCCTCCTCCCCATGTTAATTGTGACAGATACAGCCTGACATCATTGTAATCTGGGAAACAGATAGTTAGGAAAGGAATTGCAGCCACACCAGCACCTAGCTTTCATCTGACTTCTTTCTGCTCTTTGATCTCTTAGCTGGCTAATTAAGAAGTTTGAATCAGCACCCTGCCAAAATAGGTTGTGCCTTTTTTCCATACCTGTGACCCTCAGAAAGAACAACCAGTGTACTCACGTTCAGTGAAAGAGGCATTGCTTATGAGTCTTTCAGCTCTGTTCATTTAGATGGCCATATAAATGTGTGCTGTGCTCTACTGCAGACCCTCCTCTTTCTGCATTTCCTATTCAAAGACGAATTGAGGGGGAAAAAATATAAGCCTTGACATCACATTTTGCAAAGGAAGTGAATGTGCTCCTCCCTACATCTAAATGAATGGCCTTTTAAGGTGACTGCTGAATTAAATTCCTGTATGATGAAATCAACAGGCATGAGAAAGTTCTTATTTCCGAAAAAGAAAAATGTGGCAGGGGAGGAAAAAAAAAAATCAGCCAGTATGTGACTGCAGGGCTGAGAGCTGAATAGGAGCTGTTTACACTAACTCAATAAAGATACTTTACTCAGCTTTGGTAGTAAGGCAGCTTCACAGGCTGAAGGGAAATGGGGATATACATATTCTGAGCCTGCTAAGCTACTTTAATGTAAGACATGTGCATTTCACTGAAGTCCTGAAATACCTCACTTAGAAGAAAGATGATTGAAACCCCAAGCCCATCTTTCTGTTTATCATACATTACATATTTCTGACATACTTTGCGCGGTACTGTATGCAACCAACACCAGTCTTTATATATATATGCCTGTAAGGTATGCAGCTAAAACCTAATTTCTGTGAAGACCTAAAATACCCTTAAGACAGAGTAAAAATAATCTCATTAGGGGAATGGGGCACATCTGGACATTCTCAGGATAGAAGCTCTACCCAAGCACAGACTGTCACTTTACCCTTGCAGGGGGAAATCACAGGGAACCAAACCACCATGAAATGCAAAAATTAAACAGTCTCCCTGCAGTCTTGAAAAAAAAAAAGCCAGAGACCTCCACGAAGGCCATAAATTTTGTAGCGCTCAAGAGGTCACTAATGGTTAATTAACATTACTGAAGCACTTTTTTCTCATTTTTCACAGTGATATTGCAGAAACATGAGAATGCAATGGACATGAAAATCTGTCTCCAGTTTTTTACATCTCCTTATACCTGCTGCCCCAATGTAACCCTAAAACTCGGTCTGTCCTCCACCTCTTCCATTGTTGGGATTTCTCCTGTGGCTGCATTGTTGATAGAAATAATAGCTTTAGGGCAGGAGAGGTCCTTTAAGGTGTTGGTATTTTTATTATTATTCCATCATCCAGACTTGCATTAAGTAAGGTTAGACCAAAACGTTGGTCTAACCAACGTTTATCACTGTTTAGACAGTGATAAAACGTTGATGTCTTATCTTAACTATTCTCAGTATTGCTACAGGCAATGGTGCTACACCAGAGATAACTGAATGTTAAGAGAAGGTGGCTATTTTAGACAAGCCTACATGCGCAGGAAGGAAGGGAATGTGACACCGCGTTACGGATTTAGATTTAACATAAATGAAGCAGAAAGCAATGATTTTCCTTTTTTGAAAGCAATTCCTCCTCCTATCACAGATTTACAGGTGGTAAATTAATTACTTGGGCAGTACAAATAAGAAATGGACAAGGAGCTGAATCATGGATTGAAAACCTTTCAGAGGCAAGTGACTTCTCTCACAACAGGCAGGGGAACACTGCAGTCAAAGCTACTTTCTGTGTCGTAATCTGGAGCTAACCCTGAACTGGATGTCTCAGCAGGGGACATGACAGCACTACACCCTTTTAATTTCTCCTGTCTTCTTTGCTCTCTGTCTACTAAAAGAATGACTTCTGCAGAGTTTTGGACCCTGCATATATCTTATCCATAGCAACCACAACACTTCCCTCAGATTTGCTAAAATGCAAATCTTGAATTTAGGTGAAAGAAGATGGATCTTCCCCCCATACTCTAATTCTGAGCTTGACTGAAATTTAGAGGTAAACATCTTTGTCAGCATCAGGGCTTCCTGATGGCCCTTCCCATCTTACAGCCTCCAGACTCTGGCCTAGCAACCAATGACCTTTGCTAGCAATCAGTGGGAAAGCATTGAAGAAAAATTTCTGAGTGATGACTCACTCTACCAGAGCTTGGTTGCTCTATCATTTTCTAATGCTGCTGATGGGAAGATATTTTCTATTGTGAGAGGCTTGTTTTCCTGCTCCATAGGAACAATGATCCATAAGGATTTCCTGAGGAGTGACTTCTCCTTAGAGTAAGTCTTCTTGTCTCTTAGCCTCTGGAAGACTAACTGAATTACCCATTACCCAGTTAGTTGTAACCTTCCTGTTCCCTCCTGTGTTTTCAACACCTACTTTAATGTAGAGGACTCCTCATTGGACACAGGCACTGGGGAACAGGGAACTAATGAAAAACTTTCATAAATCAGCAGAGGATGTGGAAACATGTAGGACCCACAAGAGAAATCAGAGGACCCATGTGGAATACAGCATGGGGGATTGCACTTGGAGTTGAGCAACACAGTTCTGGCAATGCTGGAGTGTGAACTCCAACTTGGAAGAGCTGACCCTGATGAGGGTCATGGCAGCAGACTTATTTCTTCTCTGATCAGAAGTAGCACTTGGTGTTTCTTAAGAAAGCAAAGGCACAACAGCAGTCAAAGTTTATCTGTTTGGGCAGAAGTCCCAAAGCCACTACATTCTTCCCCTTTTATTTACAGCCTTCGGCGACGACTCTGCTCTGATGGCTGCAGACTGTAATGTTTCACTGGAAGCACAGCTGGCTGTTTGGGGTGGCTGACACGCAGAGCTGCACCTGCTAGAATAGATGCTAAGAAAAGAGATGTGTTCTGAGAGATACAAAGGCATTGTTTGACCCGTGACAGACTGCATGGGCAAAAGAATTTGTTAAGACCATCCTGTGTGACCTCCTGCATTGACCATCTGCTGGCTCCTGGCTGGGTGACAGAAAGCCTTTCAAGATGCTACCAAACCTGTAGAAATTACTCTGGTTTGATGGTGAGTATTGGTAAATATGTGTGCATGCGCCTTTAGATTGGAAGAGATGTCAGTCACACTGCATAGCTCACTATTGTCCCTTTTTCTACTCCCAGGAGGCTGGGAGAAGCAGCTGTACTGCAGAGATGCCAACCATCAGCAAAATACAGCAATTGTTTTATGAGTTTAATGCTATTTATCTTCTAATTTATTTACCAGAGGTACATGTAATGCTCAATGAAAGCCAGTTTGCTGAGGAGAAAAGTCTTAAAAACACCCTTCCATTTGCTAATGTATTTTTATTATTAAATAGATTTTTTGTTTGTTTTAGAATATTTAAGCATCATTTAAAAAAAAAAAAAAAGGAAACAAGTAAGTGAGGGTGGAGAGCTCAAGCTGAGAGAAGACCGGAGCAGGCAATGGAAAGCAGGCCAGCCAGGTCTCATCTTCTTTTTTCTAATTACTTGTCCTACCAGGATGGGCCTGGAAGCGTTTGGTGCCTGCTCCAAAGGCTCACATACTTAGGGGTGAATGGTCACTTTGTGTAACTGTGTCTGAAGGAGCTCACTGATCTCCAGACAAATGTGAGAAAGTTGCTGGTTTGGTATTTGCCAGCACAGGTACTGCAATCTCCTCTGTGTTTACTACAGGTATTTGTTACGGCTGGGACCGCACAGCAAGCACTGCCAGCCTCTGCACCAAGTGGAATTAATTGCAGGAGAGAGGCCCACTGCGGAACAGATAAGAGGGATCTAGAAAAATGACGGAGGCCAGACAGCATGAGATAAATTGTGGTGAGAAAGCCTGCATTAATAGCAGTAATGTAGCTGTGTTTCCTGAAATGAGAGCAAGAAATTCCCTAGTGTGGACACACTTCTTGTTGGCCAAAACATTCTAAATTCCTCAATAATCAGGCAGGAAGTGGTAAAATCCATCATACAAAATGAACAAGATGTTATTTTTTCCAACATTAAAAATACATTTTAGGTCATAACTATCGCAGAAAAAAAAAGTTTATGGCAAATCAGATTTTTTTTCTGCCATACATGATTTTTCAGTGATGTACAAGTGGAATTTCTGTACACAAAATGTGTTTTAGGAGCTTTGCTTCCATCCAGATCAGTACTTTATCTAATAGGTGCAATATTCAAAAGTACTCACTGCTCTTTCAAAAATTTGCTCAAATAAAAATTATGTTTTAGTAGCTTCCCAGTCAAGTAACCAGAGAGAAAAGCAGAATTATAACAGCCATCACTTTTGTGCTTTGTGTAAACAGCTGGAGTTAGGTAATTTCTGATTTATTTTTGTCACTTTGTGTGATTTTGTCCAGTTTGCACCATAACTGAAGTCAGTGTTGACTCTGTACCACAACAGGTCTACAGGCTTGTACCTACCTTGCCTTGGTTGGCTGTTCTGAGAGCCTCCTACCAAGATTTCCTGCTGCCTCCATTTTAGAGCAGTTCTGTCTTTTCTGCAGTGAGTGGAAGTTAGTAAGACCCAGCAGATGCTGCTGCCTGAGTTCAGTCAGCAGAGTAACACTGTGATTCCTTCCAACTTCTTTGCTTGTACATCAAGAGGAAGGAGGATGCTAACTTTATAACTTCTCCCCATTGTGCCCCAGAGGTTAGGCACCTTGCCATATACAGATGTTATCAAAAATGGAATCATTTTATAAATAAACTGTGAAATAACAACAGTCTGCATAAATGTATGCTTTGGTTCAAGACCGATGTATTCCATTCTTTGAGAACATTCTCTAAATAAACTGAATGCTTTCATTTTATACTTTGTTATGATTTATCACATTGTGGTTTATTTAAGGCTTTCAATGTTCTCTCTTCTATTTGCTGAACTTTAGATATGGAATTAAAATACGCTTGACTTCACAGTCTTCCTTTATATTCAAAGAAGGAGCCGTGTAGCTATCACAATGGATTAAGACATACTATATTAAAACCCTGTCACTTTTGCAACTGCATTTATGCAAGAAGACAACAGTAGCTAATGGGTCCATCTAAGACATTGAGTTGAATGGACAATCTTTTCATGGCTGTGGTAATTATGAATACTCTGAAAAAGGCTGCTTTGCCAGTTGTAGCCCAAGAAAATTGAATACTGTTCTCTTGCACAAAATGCTCTGCAAGTATTCAGCCATCTTATTCCATTACATGCCATTACAAAAAACAGTGACTTGTTTATTCAT